TATCCTCGAATGTCACTTATCGCTCTTTATATATTTTCTAACCATATGCTTTGTTAGTTTTTTATGTGTTATACTCGTATTCTGACGTTAAATTGTATAATTTTAAATTATAGATTTTTGCGCGCTATCGCTAAGGCCCAGTCTATTTGTATTGTCCCGGGCATAAAATGTCAGGACCGGGCCTGTATTTTGCAAGTTGGTTAATTGGTGTTATTAATTGTCAATCTAAAGGTTAGGTTATGATTACAAAGATATAGACATTTTTGTCAAATAGAAGTGAAAGAGTGATCTACTCACTTACATGTTAGGCGGAGCCGCGGAGGAAGTAATAAGGTTTAATAAAGGAAAGTGAACCGAGGAAACAAGCTATAATCTCCAAGGGAATTTAATATGGAGTCCTAATGTATAATTTTATTACTTGAACTGATCGATTTTTTGAAAATTTAGAATTCTAGATATCTACGGAGTATCTTTTTAGAAATTACTCCATATCATTTATTTATGATCGTAGGTACGTCCAATTTATATTTATTCTTTAAAAAAATTATCGTGTCTATATCACAAGAAAAAATTGCTGTTCGTAGGACACTTTCAATGCTGTTTGACCAAAATAAGATCAAATCCGGGTATTACTTGCGCAGGACTCCAGAAGTCCTATTTTAAGAAACTCAAATATGATTTGCCAAAATTACCCCCACTACTTAAATAAGTAGTCAGTTAAAAGCCTTTACCTCCCATGAACTAAACTACCGAACTGGAGCCTCGATCATCATCTCTGCGTTCTCGCACATCTTCTCTACGTTCTCGCAAGTTGGTTTCGCATTTGTCGATCATCATCATCTCTCTCGCGATCATCACGTCTACGTAATCCGCAGTGTTCTCAGGTAAGTTTTTTTCTTCTCTGCTTTTTCGCGTTCACCTTCTCTGCTTGTTTGAACTCTTAGATTGTTAGTTTGTATTGTTTTTTTGCATTCGAATGTTTGTTATCTACCTCCTGCGAATTTTCCTGTCATTCGAGTGTTCCTTATCTTTTGAATTCATTGGATTTCAATTTTTGTTATAATTCCTACGTTTTATCATTGGATTTCATTGTAATCGTTTTTTATGAATTAGTAATTCTCAGTTTCTTATATTGTTTTTGGATATATTAATATGTATGCAGATGATGTAGTTTGCTTATTCATTGAACAAATCAATTTACTTTGTATTTTAGTTTTGCTTTTTTTGCAATTTATTTCCAAATTTACGGATGTTTTTGCTCATTGCTATTTTCATACACTTTGCAGGATGTTGATTATGCTCAAAGTTGATGGTTGTTGGGATGATTCGCATGTTTTTTCTAATAAACGAACTTGCGGCCTAATACTTCCTAATGAGACATTATACAATGCTTTCACTGAATTGGCTTACTCATGCATTGGTGCACTTGCTTCAAAAGAGATTCTTAAGTTTACATATTTGGTTGAGTCATGCCCTCCTCCAGTTGTTGTTAATGATGATAATAGTTTGAAATTTTACCTTGCTCTTAAAAAATTGCAGCCTCATTATGCGAAGTATCCCTTATGTGTTGAGTTATGCCCTGTTTCCGCTTATAATCAGGCCTACTGCTCTTCTATACCTGCTGCAATTGATTTAAATGCTTCTCCAGTTGATGAACATGACCAATTACTCTTACAGTCAGTTTCTTCTCCTTTGCATGAAGGCAATTCTTTTGAGTTCTATGATACTAATGATGAGCTTTCAATGGATTTTGAAGATACAACTCTTATGGCTACACCTTCATCTTCATCTCCTGTCAGTGAATATGATGGTGTCTTTGAAGATGTTGATGGTAGTCTACAGTTTCAATTACACAATGTTTCTGATTTCCAAGATTTTGAAGTACTCTCTCGTTTTAATCCTACACATATAGCTAGAGACTGTATTTACAAGGACAAAAAGGCATTGGATTTCCATTTGAAAATGTATGCTATTTCAAATCTTTTCCAATATAAGACGAGGACATCAAATAGAAAAGTATTGCATGTTGTTTGCTTGGATGATGATTGTATTTGGGCTGTTCGTGCAGTGAGGTTGGGTGGTTGTCAAATGTTTCAAATTAGAAGGTAATATGATCATTTAATTCATTGTCCTTTGATGAATTTGTTTATGTATTATTATTACTATTTACTGTCTATTTACTGTGTTATTATTGTCTGATTTCTTTTCAGGTTTGACAGTGTTCATATATGCTCTCTTGATTTTAGACAAGGTCTCCATCGTCAAGCAACATCTGATATAATTGCAGAATTGATAAAGAGTCGATATGCTGATGCTTCAAGGAAACCGTATGCTCCAAAGGACATCATCGCTGATATGATTCATAATTATGGCATTGCTTTGCCATACAAAAAAGCATGGAATGCAAATAGAAAAGCTCAACAAAAGTTGATGGGTTCAGATGAGGAATCATATCAGTTGTTACCATCCCTTGCTCATGTTTTGAAAGAGAAGCATCCTGGTTCAGTGATCAACTTAGGTATTGATGCCAATGATCGTTTTGAGTCTTTTTTCATGTCATTGAATGCGTGGATTCAAGGTTGGAATCACTGTTTTCCCGTGCTTATTATTGATGGATCCTTTATGAAAGCATATTATAAAGGGACTCTACTAACCGCTTGTGCTCAAGATGCTAACAAGCAGATATTTCCTCTAGCTTTTGGCGTTTGTGACACCGAGCGAAAGAGAACATGGACTTGGTTTTTTAAGAAACTAAAGGAGTGTCTTGCATTCAGGAGTGATTTATACATTGTTTCAGACCGTCATGAGGGTATACTTCATGCAGCAAAGACAGTGTTTCCACATGCTAAACATGGGTACTGTGCGTTCCACCTGTTTGGAAATATCAGGTCAAAGTTCAAGGGCTGTACGAAAGGTCTTTCATGGAAATTTAACCAGGCTGCCAGAGCTGCCACTCCTGCTCAACTGGAGAGTTTCTTGGCGTTATTAGATGCTGAAGATCCTCGTATCCGTGACTATCTGTATGGAATAGGTGTTGAAAAATGGTCACGTTGTTACTCTGATTTCCCTCGGTACTCTATAATGACATCCAATAATGCAGAGTCAGTTAATTCAGTGGACCGTGTTCCCCGTGAATACCCCATAGCAAAATTGATTGATTTTTTGCGTGAAAGGATGCAAAAGTGGTTCGTTGAACGCCGTGATGCATCAGGAGCCAATAAAACAGTTCTTTCAGAGCACTTTGAGTCCCAACTTCGTGCTTACCATGCTGCAGCATCACTTATGACTGTAAGTGTATTACTTATTCCTTGTAAACTCATTTTTAAGCATTTTTTCTTCTCAACTTGCCATATTATTTGTTATAATAGTTTATTTTAATGTTTTGTATCATATTCTAGGTTAAGCCAGCTACTCAGTTTGAGTTTGAGGTGGTGGACACAACTTCCAGAAGCTTTGTTGTTGATTTGAAGGCCAAGACATGCTCATGTTGTGAGTTTCAACTTGAGCAGTTCATATGTGTTCATGGTGTCGCTGTTGTGTGTCATCGTCGCGGTTTATCTTGTTATGACTATATTTCAAAGTATTACTTCACAGAATCTTGGGTTGCTGCTTATAGTGGTGTGGTTCACCCTATTGGTTCTCCTGTGGATTGGGACATTCCTGCTTCTGTAAGGTCTAAAATATGCAAGCCACCTACATGTCTCACACGCCAACCTGGTAGACCTAAGAAGAAACGTATACCTTCAACTGGAGAATTTTCTTCCCGCCAACGGTGTTCACGATGTAAAAAAGGTGGACACAATAAGAAGTCATGCAGGAATCCCATTCCAGTCCGTCGTGTTTAGTTTCAAAATAAACTAGCATTTGTCTTGACTCTCTCCTTTAATAATTGTTGTAAGAGATTCATGTTTCAGTTGAATTGTTCTTTACTTTCATGGTTTTGGTTGTTATGAACTTGGTGTTTTTTGTTAGTCTTTTGACAATTACGTTGCTGTAATGTTTGTTCTTCTACTCAAGACCCCTGCATAAAACCAGTTTTTACGATGCTAATTACTGCGTATTTAATGTCTCATTATTGTCTATTTAATGCCTACTTAGTGCCACTGCTAGTTTTTATATTTACTACTACTGTCTATCCTATTACTACTACTGATTTATCAGTTTAATGCCAGAATAATTGAGTAAGTTTTTCAATTCAGTCATTTAATGGATGGTTGTGCCATTAAAGACAACATATTACCTACTTATTATCTGCGTCAGAGATTTGAAACATACATTACAGACAAGGTCAAGAATAAACAAAAGGAAGAAGGATTTGGTTTTCAGTGTCTACCTTTAAATTTTTTTTATCATATTATACATTGGTTACACTACAATGTTGTACTACATGTTTTCTCCAACTTTATATCCAGTCATTTAGTGTCTGTGATTGTGACATTAAAGACTACTTATTACATACTTATTATCTGTGCTAAACATTTGTAGCATACATTACAGATCAACTCAATAACAAACAAAAAGAATAAGCATTTTTCATTCAAAAGCAAAACATTCCATATAGTGAATTTATGAAACCATATGTCAGTAATACATGGAGTCACAAGTCTTACTAAACAAAGTAATGAAATTATACATTCTTTTTGCTTCAAAACAAAATAGCTTCATCTGAAATTTTGAAAACATTACATCTTATTCCAACTACTGTCTTTGAGCTTGAACTAGAAATCATTTTGAGCTTTCAACTGTGTCATGTTGTGCATACAATAGCAGCTCCGTTGTCATTTTCTGTCGGTACATTTCCATGTCATCCTTTGAAACTTCATTCACATCTCTATCCATCATTAGATATTCAGCAAACTTTATGACAAACATGCCACAATTACCCCTGTAGAAGCATAAATTACATAAGTAAAAAGTGATTGCACATGATATTTAAACAAATATGTAGACAAAAAAATTACAGACCCACATACCCGTCATCTTGCTGTGGACATTCCATAACCATATCAATCTGAAATTTAGCATTTTCCATTTCTACCTCGGGACGCTTGTCATAAACTCCAAACCTCTCCATCAGTTTTGGTAAGAAATACTCCAAGCATGGTATGTATGCCCTTATGATTGACAATGAATCCCCTCTTCTCTTTAGGGAATCATACACTCTAATGCGCTTTCCGTTAATGTCTACGACCAAAAGTATCCAGTGCTTTGACGTGTTCAATGGCATGTATACAAAATCTGCATTTGTCCATGCCATTGCATTTCCCGTGTTTGATCCTAGCACAGTATTCATTATGGTGCCATTATATGTTACTTCAGTCATTGTTGTTTTCTCATTTTGCACCATTTCAGCTTGCGTCTTCAGTAGCCCGACAAATAAAGGGTCTGTAGTGGCATATTTTTGTCGGAGTTTATAATGATTTCTTTTCACTCCCAAGTAGAAAAAAGCAACTCCAATATGCTGAAACATTTAAAAAATCATTAATACAATTTATTTTCACCAACTATTATACATTGTATAAGCCATAAGTTAGTTTTTTATAACTTACAGTATCAGACAACCAGTGCTTATTTGTGAAGAGTTCATAAATCCATGTCTTCGTTGTTATAACAAAATCATCCAACCGCAGTCCAAATTTGCATCCCACTAACTCATCTTGCTTTTTTTTGTATTTCTTTGAGACATTAGTGTCATGGTTTTTTACCAACCCCTCCATGACAAACTGTTTTACTTTCTCTACCTCTTCCATAGGTGGCATTTGTTTTGGATCTTCGCTGAATGGTCCTTCAATTCCATTGATTTCAGACCTTTCAGTCTCATTTCTTTTCTTCATTGCCCTTTGCACTTTCCTTTTTTTCATTTCTGTTGTTGGATTAGGCGTGTATCTGCTGGGGCTCTTAGCAACCCTTTTTGTTCTTCTAATCTCCTTTTCCTTCTTTGGACTGTGAACCCTTTCTCCAGCCTGTGGTATAGCCCTTTCTTCTTCTGAATCAACCCTGTCAGACTTCATTTCAATCTCTTCCTGTAATTGCATAATAAATAATACATACTTAGTCATTTATTTAAGTATAAGATTTTTATTTCCTAAGAAAAAACATTCAATGAAAAATTATTCACACCATAGCCTTACATGCAGGCCATAAGAATATTGAATTACCTCTTCTTCTATTTCCTTCTCAGTTTTCTTCAAGTCCTTAATGACACTATCAATGGCATTATCTACATGCATTTGCAACTCCTGTGTGTTAATGCTTACATGAGCTGGAGTGAGTACCACTTCTTCACAGATTATCAGGTTGTCTTTTTGAGCGCCTATAGGGTCTGCTTCATCACTTCCTACTTCACTCTCACCTTGTGAGCGCCTAAGGTGTACATCCTCACCATATAAACCTTCCTTTTCAGCATCTTCAGCATTTAAATCTTCTTTTTCAGCACTTATATGTTCTACACCATCCTCGCCTTCTCCCTTTTCCACCTCACTGTCTCCCTTTTCCATGATTTTTTCATCCAGCTTCTGACTTAGACTCAGATGCAAGTCAAAACTAGGCATGTCGGCCACGAAAGCTTCTTCATGTATTTTCTTCTGAAGCACTTCATTCGTATCAATGTCCATATCTTCTTCTTCTTTACTTGTGTTTGCTTCATTTGTTGTGCCTTTTGTAAGTAATAATCTCTCCAACATCTCTGTTTGCTTCTTTTGGCCACTAAGCAGCCTTTCCATTCCTTCTTCAAGCACTTTCACCCTACTTTCAAGTTTTTGGTTTTTCTTGGATTGTAGTACAACCGCAGCCATGATATTTCGCATAACCACCCTATCCCTAATTTCGTTGCCAGCACGTGTCCTTGTCTTCATGAAACGGTTTACTGTGTGCAGACCACTTGTTGCATGATCAGCCTTCTGTTGGTTCATATCCACAGATTCTCTGTCATTGTAGTCAAAGTGTTGACCTTGAAAATCGTTTTCACTTCCATGAACTTCATCATCTTTATTACCTGTATCAAAACACACCTTTTTTGTGTGTTTTGGTAGTCCATGTTTCAGAGTAAGGGTACTTCTTTTGACAGGCTTATTCCTCATGGACTGGTACAATGCACTGATTGTTGGAATCTTCAGTTCCTCTTCTGTTGGTTGCATCCTAATATATTCAAACTGTATTTCATAAGAAAAAACAGTCAATGAAAAGTTAATTCACACCATAATGCATAACTTTACATGAGACACAATATAGACATTATAAAAATAGATTTACCTGTTCATTCTCAAATATGGTATCTGCTAGGGTCGTCAGATTTGTCTTCTTTGGTGTTGACCACCTCAGCAACCTTGGCCATAAATCCCTTCTATCTTCATCTAACTTACAAACATGGGCTGTCCTAAGAGCTGGGAAACTTTCAAATGCCCAAATTTGCAATGCCAAAATGAAACCTGGAAAGGTGAACCTATCGCTTTTTGCTTTTTTAATGTTTTCAGTCCATTTAGGCACCTTTTCCAATAAATC